AGTCCTTGGAACAGCGAAGCAGTTAGATATTTAAGACGAGTTTTAGATAGATCTGAACATAGGCATAGGAGGTGTTCCAGCGTCACTCTCATGCCTGCTTCTCTGCCTTTTCTACATGTGTCGTCGTCGGCAGTAGGTTGTGACCTGTCTGTACTTCCTGTACTTGGTCGTAATTGGTAATTCACCTAACGCTTCCAATCATGCAGCTGATCTTGCTGCATAGCTTTCCATTGCAATGTGGAGTGGTGGTAGGTGGAGTAGCCTTTCTATTGTAGCTGTTGGAGTGGTTGTTAGCGCTCCCTTTATGCAGAAGAGAGCGAGTCGCTGTATCCGCTCCAACGGTTTTCTGTATGAAATTTTGCTAACAGCGGTCCACCACACCAAAGCACCGTAAATCAAGGTTGGCTTGATTACAGCCGTGCAACGCCTATACATGAGGCCAGATGATAGCATGTGGACCTTTTTACATGCTTATAGGGCGCCACTGACATTTTTTACACTCTCCTCCGTTGAATCAATTAGCTATCCAAAATTACTCACAGGTACTTGGCATGTTCCTTATTTGTTAGCTTAACCCCGTTGAGCTTCGGGGGTTTCCATGTCGGGATTTTGTACTTCCTTGTAAAGAGTACCATATTTGTCTTATCGGCATTTACCTCTAGGTTGGTCGATATCGCCCATTGGTGTATGATTCTTAGAGTGTTGTCCATCACGTTACTGATTGTTTCTAAGAATTTCCCTGTCACTAGTATAGCTATTAGTTTGCTCATTAGCTACAATTTACCATAGGAGTGGTGGCAATACACTCTTCTGAGGAATTCCTGTTTGCGCTAATCTAAGCAATCTGGAATCGCTTCATACCGCGTTAATCCTCCTACAGCTCAATAGAGCTTTTATCCATGCTATGATGGCATGCAGGTAAACGATGTCGTTATTGGAGACATTGTTGAATGATTCACTTATGTTAAGAAAGACGCCCAGAATATATTTAGAGTTAGCGAGTTAAATGTAGTCTTAGTTTATGTTTGTATATGCGTGCGGTGGTTTCGATATGTTAGCCCATAGAAGCTTGTCTCTAATATAGGCGTCTAGATTTTTTTCAAATTTCTTCAGAAGAAATGAGGTTAGACTTACTGATCTATTTTCTTTCGAGTAAAGGGGGACTCTTTGCCCGCCTTCGGTATGAATACGACCCTCCTTAACATCCTTCGTATATTGTTATCAGATAAGGCACCAACGTTTTTGATATATTCTGCACCATGGCTGAAAAAATACCGTCCGTACCAGGGGACTTAAACGGTTCCTTCGTTATGATGTCGGTAAGGACGTACTCTACGCTTTCTCCTACAGGTTGGAAATTTATAGCATCCGTACGCCCTGGAAAATGTGTGTTGACCAGGTCTACCAGTGATACCTTACTGCATCCAGTACACTCTCGACATTTTTACGTAGTATCCTAGATCTTGGCTTTGCGAGTTTAATTTTTATACTCCTTCAACTCACCTTTATATGCTCTCCAGCAGTGTTCTTCATCGGCCATCTTGGTCAGTTTGAATAACTCATTAACACTACGCCTACGTGATCTGAGCTACTTGTTCCACCAAGGCCTTTTTAAAAATTTCAATGAGCGTTACTGTCCGTTCCTCACATTTCTCAAGCTTATTTACATTACCTATTACTATCTTCCTGTGTAGATCCCAGTTAGCATTCTTAGCTCTTCGAGGTAGGGCCAATATATGTTGGTTTTTCCCCCCGGTTAGCTACAGTTATGTTGCTAATCAATATAAAGTTTAGTAAAAGCTCATCTCTTTCGTTGGTATTCCTGCTTCCCCATACTGTGTGGTGCGCAATGTCGTCTGCGCCACCAGGGGCCATTTAGCTTTTTCAGCCGCCTCCACCAAACCTGGAGTTCTACTGGTGGCACTTCACCATCGTGTGGCACGTAACAGGATGCAAGGAGTAGCGTCTCATCCTTGCCATCCGTTACGACTACTACAGTCGGGTCATCTGAAGAGAAATTTAGATCGATATATGAATACATACTTTTCTTAAACAGTATGGCTGTTCTCACCTGTCTGTTGCACTTAGGAAAGATGTAAAGTATGCTGGCGACTTTATTCCAGATACCATGTTTCCCGAGGCTAACTATGGTTCCTGAACTAAAGCCGCATCGCAGCCGATCCTCTCTAAATTGAGGAGGAGTTCGGCAGAGGCGACTTTGCTTTTATGCAGGTTTATTTGAAGAACTTTCACAAGTGGACATAACTATCGAAAGAAGATTCTCTCCGCATGTCAATGATAAGTGCACATCTCAGAGAAAGAACGATATTTTTCTTAAAAAGTCTTCCATAAACACTTGGATCCAAATATTCGGCTTAAAAAATTATGGTCCGATGTCGGAATTTTCAAACGAAAGATGAAATACCTAAAACACACTACTAGTGCACAGCTTTATTTCGATAACGTCATTGGCTTTATATACCGTAAAGTCTATAGTGATTTCGCAATTCACATAAGAATGTCGGGAGTGTGCTGGGTTACCATCCGATTTCATAAATTTGGCGAAAATGGTTTGTGAGATATGTACATTAAGCCGATTAGAAACGGGGACACGCCTAAGTTTTCAGCAGTCCCTTACTATTGCGATCCATGTATTAAAATTCAATTTTGTTCGATTTTCAACTGGCCTCGTTATCGTGATCACTTATATATATACATACTTGTATATTATATATTCCTTTAACTCTATATCTATATCGATTAGCTTTAGGTGTTTCAAACAACTGATAGTTGAACAAAACTATTATGCTTCTGCTGTTACAATTGTTCATGCTGAAAAATGTATGTAATATTATTTATAGTAGATATGTATATTGAAAAAGTATTGAACTATATGAAATAGTCTAAGTTTTACAGACCTCAAGTTTTCTAAATCTATCGCAATTTACATTTTTTGATTTGCATTTAAGGACGCTCATTTACCACCATATCAGAAAATACTTCAATTAAAAATTAAAGGGCAAGCTTTCCTGATAATATTGTAGCATTGTACTTAAAATAATGCCCTAAATGCATCAAATTGGATGATAAATTACTACTGCTCTTCCATAGTATATATATTGATTTTCGTTGTTCTAGTATATACCAGGTGTACCGGTATGAAGTTACAAATGTGTTGGGGGTTCACAACAAATGTGTACGAGCCTTAATTTTTTTTCTGTTTGGTTGGCATGACACACACATATTCAATTGAACTCAAGTCACAGTCATTGAACCAACAACATCATATTTTTTGATTGCGTTGAAAATGTCAAATTTTGTACCGCAAAGTGATGATTTGCCGAAAGCATTCATTTTTTGTTTCCATTTGAAGAAAAGTGCTGCAGAGTCGCATCGAATGCTTGTCGAGGCATATGGCGATCATGCTCTATCAGAAACAACAGAAGATGGTTTCAACCGTTCAGAGATAATGATTTTGATGTGAGAAATGACGAACGTGGAAGACCACCAAAAAAGTATGAAGACGCCGAACTATTGTACAAGCAATACCATATTGGATGAAGATGATACTGACTTTGAACTATACTTTGATCGAAAAACGACCAGAATAGGCCAGCAGATACGGCCAAGTAATTTTGTTACCCACCAATGCAACTGCACACAAAGCAAAATCGGTTCAGGATACAATCAAAGTACTGCGCCGTATTCACTAGAGTTCCGATTACCATTTGTTTTCATCGATGGGAGATGCATTGCCTGAGGAACACTTCGATTCCTACGCAGGTAGTTAACGGATATATCAATAATTATATGAGATATAATTAAGGCAAAAAATTGATTTTTGACTTACCGGCAACTGCCTTTAGCGTTAAATACCCCGACACCAAATAACTTACCAACATAAGAATAAGTAAATTTTCATATCTATGGTGACAAAAAAAGGGTCGGCTTTAGTACACCCTCCCACGATTTCAGGGTTAAAGGGGGTGTGGTTGGATAGAGGAGATTCTCCAGATAAAGAATATATATAATTATAGCCGCCGGAAACTTATAGTTTTCGAGATAAATAAGCATTTTATTTTTACACAATTTTCGTTATATGCACAATAACAAATGGGTTCCATGTTGATAGATAATAAGTGTTGGCATATCTATTTTATATACATATATATATTGCAAATGAATTACCCCAAATACATTAACTATAATTTTGTTCGTTCTCTTCTCTTGATAAACCATGGTATTGGATTGGCCAGTGTTATTTTTATCAGAAAGAAATAGGACGCAAAAGGGATAACGACCACCCTGGTGTTGGATCGGCCAGGGTTATTTTTTTGAAGCGCGGCCGAAAGCCGCCAATGCAAATAGGAAATCTAACCAAAAAAAGTAATTTTGAAGAGGTTATATTAAACTTCATTTTCTATAACGGATATTGTTACAACTAAACAAGGTACCTTTTTTTTTGTTCGTTTTGTCGTTGAATTAGTAAATACTGTGCCTATAAGTTAATTTTGTAGAGGGTAATTGGGTATTTTATTTATTTTGATTGCTTTCATTCGTTTAGATATGGCAAGACTTATTATCTGTCAACATGGAACCCAAAAATTAACAAATTATTGTGCATATAACGAAAATTGTGTTAAAATAAAATGCTTATTTAAAACCAATATTAAAATCATTAATATAAAATAAATATGTAGAAACATTGGAGTGAAGAGTTAGTGTATAATAAGTGCATAATATAAAAGAAAAATTAACTATAAATCGAGAAATTGTAAGATAAAATTTGTGAAATTCTCAACTTAAAATGCAAATATCTCGAAAACTATAAGTTTCCGGCGGCTATAATATATATATTCTTTATCTGGAGAATCTCTCCTATCCAACCATACACCTCTTAAATCGTGGGATGGTATACTATAGTTTCCCCCGAAAAAATTCTGCAGCTAAACAATTTACGTGTTGCGTAATAATAATAACAATAGTAATAAGACACTTACGTAAATATAGGAAAAGGATTTCCCTGGATGTTGCACGGTAAATGGACATCATTACCCCGTTCCACATGTATTTCCATTACTGGCTTCTGAGTAGTACGTGGAGCAAGATTTTTACTCAGCTCTGCAAACACAACAAAAGATGATAAAAATATATATTTAATTATCTTTCATGTTGAAAATAAATACAAATTGTGCGCAAACACAGGAAAAAAAATTTAAATACCAATGAAAGAGTTTGTTATTATGTGTGTAAGTAATTCTGAACGAAGATCCCAGCTTTGCCAGCCATATATTAAAAATGCTTATATATTATGTAGATAAAATTAACTTTCGGTAGTCAGTTAGACTCACAATTTCTTGCATGTATTTGCATACCTTTCACCTGCAACATTATAGCATCACTGCGCTGCTTATCCCCATTCAGTGTGTTTGTCACCAGGCAAGAAAACTTCACTAAGCTGTCCTCTGTGCGCACCGAGCGTATATAGAGATCCCCATTTGACGAAAGTACCACATAACGGCCAGCTGCATCAATAAAAACGAAAATGATGTGTAAGAGGAATAAGAATATAGTCGTCAAATCCTAAACAAATACTAAAACGAACAAGCAAAAAAAATTGTATTGTAATGTAAATTGACGTTTCTTCTCAAATTCCTATTTATAACTTAATTTTTTTTAATTATTTTAACTTTGTTCACACACATATTTAGAAAATATATGTATTTCAGATAAGCCTTATCGTCTTAAAGAAAAACAGAAAACTCGATATAGTTGCAATCCAAGGCAATACACTAAATACAGTGATCACCAAGTTTTTTTTTACCATTTCTATAGTAGGATTTTTACTTTGTTTCAATTCAGGCGTTAGTCGCGATGATATCATTTTCCTTATATCCTGTATCAAATCACACTTACAGTTATTACAAAGAAATTCGATCTAAATTTCAATAAGACTCTGACCTATATAGCGATATATATACGCTATAAAGGCAACCAGTATTTTGAAGATCTGTGCATTAGGTTAGAACTAGGGGAAGTATTGCCCCGATTTTATCAGTTTTAAGCATACGGATACACTGTCTGCATTTCACTCAGATAACTTACATATCGACATATCTATAATAAGTCGATTGATAGATATATGGATACTAGGGAAATCATTGGCCCGATTTTACCTATTTTTTGCTAGTTATTACTATTTTTTGCTAGTTATTACTCCCTCTCTGCATTTCAATAAAATATCGGCACTAAGGTCCACATATTCGGTATATTGAAATTTTAAAAGTTATTAACCGATTTCAGTAATTTTTAGAGGTTAGATGGACTACCATGAGGGTACTATTTGTGCATAGATTTATTTTCATATCTTCATTATTGCTTGAATTTTATAATGTCAAGTGAAAAGGCCAGACAATATTTAAAATTAGATTATATGAAAAGTATGCGTGTACAATTTAGCCAATTTTAACAATATGGCATAAAAATACAAAAATAAAGTTGTGCACCAAATTGGTTTAGTAATTTCTGAGATATATGATTTCACCGTAAGGTTGGCGGTGGCACGCCCACGTAAGATGTGAAATCTAATTCTTCTGACGAATTTATTTAGTGAGTCACCGCTTTATATGCAGTTTTCAACATAATCGTTATATGCAGAATGGTTAGATAGTTATATCGCATTATCAACCTATTCAGAGTGCCAAGAAACACATGTATCAAGACACACAGACACACATGTATCAAAAATATTGTAATAAAAAAGGGGTTTTGTCATATGATACCTCTATTTTACATATATTTCATCAAAGATAGTGTATTACTTTAAGAAAATGAGGTTTTGTCAGATATCCTAATCTACAAATAGAACCCGGAATTCACTCGTCTCCTCATCCTGATCATTTATACATGTAAAAATAATTCTATATCTACCCCGATTGCTTTTAGGTATTATAAACAACCGTTAGGTGAACAAAACTAATACATACTACCTTGTGCAATGTATTGCTAGAGTATCAAAAGACTGATAGAGAAAAAATTGGTTCCTGTTTCCTTACTCATAGAATAAATATTTAAAGTTAGGCAGTTTTGAATGGTAATCAGTATCGATATATTTGTGTAAAAAACAATGTCACCTACTTTTTATTGCTTCAGATCTTACAGCAATAATTTTCGATTTCAATATCTTGGTATTTACACTGACCGTCAATTGGGGAAAATAAATATGGACAACTCGCTGTAATAGCGCTTGAAGAGAAATCGTTTAACCCTTATGTTAGTAACCAACTTTACCGAGGTCTTTTAGCAACCGTGTACCGGCGTACCCACGATCTGAGTATTAGACAACGAGACTGGGGACTGGCAATATTTATAAATGCACGCGCTTGGTTTGTGCGCCGAGGTGTGTATATATGAGTGTGTGCTCAAGAGTATTTTCACAGCATAAAAGCATTTCCATGAATGTCAACTGCACTACATTTACGCCTCACTACACCAAACAACAGGGACACTGTAATGATCTTCAACACATCCCTTAGGTCCCAAGAGCTATCACTGCAATATACTTACACGAGTACATACAACAACAGTTTTTACTGAATCGACAAGTCAACACAAGAACGGTAAAACGTCATAATAATATGGCGGTATTCGAAGAGGCACAGTGAACAACCGAAACTGCAGCGCCAAATATAATATTACAACAAGAAAAGCCAAAGGTTTCGAGCTGAAATTTGACACCGAAATGTGCTAACATGTAAATTTATTAAACGTATTATTATTTTAAAATATATTTAATTATCTTATGATTCTGTGTAAATTTAATTAATATAGTTTGACACATTTTTTAAAATTATAAAATCGTAAAAGAATCGTAATACGTAATATATCAGGACAACGAAAACTTTGATACCCTAAACGTAAATCGGAGGCCCTAAAATATGTACATAAAATTTTCAAAACTAGCAAATAATATCACATTAACTACATATTGCTACCTATATAGGTTTTCATGTATTCTCCAAAATTCTTATATTAGAAATATTTTCTTTTTGCACGTTATCGAAAACACTAATTAAGTCAAAGAGTACATCAGAATTATAAACAGATTTATAAAACTGAATATTCCTTCAAATGGCGCTGAAATCTTTGAAATTGCTTAAATTTGATTTTGAATTAAACACTGAGATTTGATATTTGGCTTCATAATGAGGGCTGAAGGTTTTAAACTTGTCGTATGGTCGATAATGTCACACGCACTTTACAAAGAGACCTTCACAAACATATCTCACGCGCAGACTCATCTACATACATAGGTATCTAGTTGCAATCGTAACTGTGTCACCTGTTACGAATACAACAAGAATAAACTGTAAAAAAAATTCCAACGCCAAAAATGCAAAAGAAAAGCTGATGCGATGGAAAATGTAGAAGTAAGAATGTTACAAGTTCCAGCGCATACACATACAAGTATATGGTACATACATATAGAAACCATGTGTACATAAAAGCATCAGTTTATATTCAGGATTGTATGTACAAATAACAGTTTTTATACCTTATGATGTACTCACCAACATCTGATAGATCGGGCAGTAGTATCTCCTCACCGCGATGCCAGCTGGACACCTTAACATACGGTCTCACATAGTCCGGAATAGCGCACTTGATCAACGCTGAATTTCCCAAATAGACTTCGGTGTTTTCCACGTGCACATGAAACTGTCGGCGAACAACTGCAAAAAAGAAAATGATGAAAAGGCAACAACTACCAGAAGAGTGTAAAAAAACTACTATTGTGAATTGTGAATGGTTATATAATTGCTCCGATACATGTAAATACTTGTATGGGTATTTGGTCATACAAATAAATATGTGTGCGTTTAGTTAACATCCAAGTGTAGTTGCGAGTGTGGTCACTGTTGTGAATGACACCTAGCAACATAGATACGGGCATAAAAGTGTTTTTTCTCATCCATCCGACAATTATAAAATTTGAGGTGCCTTGATGAAACTTCATATTTTAATTTCTGGCTCTTGGAATAAGAGAAATCATAGATACACCCACAAAAGGGCTTGCTGAAAAAAATACGTTAACCGTAAAACTACTAAGAAAATTGAAAACCGAATTATAAACACAGCAGTCTACAAAATAATGAAGCTGTTACCCACCAATTATTTAAAAACTCTCCTAAATAATAAACTTTTCTCATAATCATCTGGTACTACCTTTAAAATGTGAACTAAACCCGGCAGTAGTCATGACAATCTGCAATGCAACTATGTTCATTAAAAATCTTCAAAGAAAAAGATAAAGGTCAAAAGTATAAGGGATTATAATATATTAGACTTCCATATGAAAAATTAAAAATAAATAGTTTCGGCTTTACAAAACAGAATAAAACCTTACTAGCGTCATATTGAATTTTAGCAGTTAATTTCCGTACGCAACCCGATCAGCAGCAACGATCTGGGTCACATATTTAGTTATTTCTCGTGAACATTTTAGACATAAAGTTCCAATTCTAGTGTGCTACGGTAACCATATGTATGTGTGTGTCACTCTTATTCTGAATTTTTATTCCAAAGCATTGTTCCTTACTACAATACAAGAAACCATTGAAATGTTTCCATCGTTTTCACATCTAACTAAACAATTAAAATTGAAAATAAACGTGAAAAATAAAAACGAAAAATTTTGAAAAAATATCGTTTGAAACCTAAATATTTTATATTGTTTGCTCCTTTTTAATGCCCGTAGAGTTAGTGTAAAAATTTACTTTTCTTCCTCAGTTAATATAATATTTTAAGATTGTTTGCTGTTGTAACCAAATTCGCATCAACTGATGAGTGTTAAAGCCTTAGAAACCATGTATATATGTATGAGTCACTATATTTGTGTTGATATGGGTTCCTGAGCATTCATGATAATATGGAAATAATAATAAAATATTTTAATAAAATCCAGATGGCTTGATACTGAAGAGTGGTAAAAACACTCGCTATATTGATCCAACTATATCTTAAAAATACTCAAGTCCGTTATATTAATGTATACCTTGGACAATACACTTAACAGACATTTAATTGCTTAAAAAATAATATATTTTGTAAGTTTTATTTGATCACATTTAGATATCCGGGTATAATCTAAACGACAAAATCTCTCAAAACACATACATACATCAGATTGTTCTAGGTGTATAATGAAGTAAAGACTAAGAAGGGTCATTAAGCAAACCTTTTTGTTTTTCGACATAATTTATTCGTTGAAATATAAGATCCTGTGCCAAGGCATCACTTTAGCTTATTGAACCATATACTATACATATTTGATATGCACTCTATAACTCAAATGATGCACATTTTACGTGCGTGAGTGGCAGTGACCTGAATTATAAATTATTGATGAATGATTTCAACTCTGCAAATTTACATTTATAGGTATATGGTGAAGTTCAAAACATATCATCTCATGACTTAATATACTTCCAAGTGACGTAAGAATATTTTCCGTAATGTTTAAAACACTAGAAAAGTCGGGTTGGAGTTACAAATTTGTCTATAACAAATAAGCAAATAACACAAATGTACGAGAACCTGAACGTTGCAATGTTCGAAGGCGGATGCATATACATATAAACGTGACGGTAGTAGGCAGACTATGAAACCCCAAATATAAATGTTGAATGAGCTTTAAAGCGAATCATATAGAATCGGTTGTTACGCTGCCCTTTCCCTGCTGTCGCTGGCCACCGCTTCTCAGCAAGCAAATGGCTGCTCGCAATGTTTTAAATACGTAAACAGTATTATTTTGTATATCCACATTCGCTGTTACGCTTTTTTCATTTCATGCCTTACCAATTTTACTTTTTGCTTTCGCGGCCAGTGAAAGTCAAACAAATGAAGTATCAGCAGATTTTTCACCAGTAAATTAAAATTGACGTGGGAAAAGCGCAAAAGCAAAGCAGCGTTGAGGTAAATAAAAACAAATGTGCGCATATATGGGCTTATCGGCGGAGTATCACGACATTTACGAATATTTACGAGGACACCAAAAATAGATGAAAAACTCACTGTCACACTGGAAATATTTTATCGCTCTTAATTGTTGCTATTTACTTTTTTTACTTGATGTGGCACATAAAGTGCATGATAAATGAACGCGAATGGCAAGTGCAATCAATTTGTTTGTGTAGATGTGTATATGTATTTGTATAGTATTTTCTGTCATATTTGTATCTGGTATTATCTATTTGTAATTTGAGCTCAACGCCTTTTGGTGATAATATTGTCAACACTTTCAAAGTAACCTCATTCTTATCAGCAGAAGCTGTGTTGCGCGGGAAAATCTTGATTAATTTCGCCTACAGGTATGCTATGGTGAAATGATTACTTTTCATGCCGCTTTGATGTCAACTTGCTTGTTGACTAAGAGCTAGGGAATAACGTTGACTAAAAGCGGACTCAACAGCCCAGCAACCAACAAAAAATATCACGGCAAACACGCAAGCATTTTGACATATAAGAAAATTAATCTTCTAAGTTCTCTGGTTGTACACTCTTTACAGTGTACGATACTAATAACTAAACGCAAAGGATTGGGAAATAAAATAAAGCAAATAATAAAATTGTAAACTAAAATTAAATAATTATAAAACACCAGTTTGCGAAATAAAAGTGTAAAATAAATTTTTGTAAGGCAAGGGTTTCGAAATTAAAGTATTATATTAAATAAGATCCATTTTTTCTAAAGTATTACCGGCACGAGTATTAAGTGGAAGTGAGTGAGTATGCATTGGTCTTTCGAGCCTTTCTGAAAGGCCCTTATGATGACAAAATAAAAAAATACATTATTATTAAAAAGTGAATAAGGAAAATATGTATAAAGTTATATGGTGGTTATGAAAAAATATATATATAAATATTAAAATAAATAATACATAGCTATAAACAGTGAGCTAACGGATTAAACAAGTGAAAAAACAAAACCTGTAACAATTTAAAAAGCAAATTATTATAAACACTCGCGAAATCAACTAAAATACAAAAACAAAATCAGTAAAACTGCAAGCGGGCGCGATACAATAAACAGTAACACGGAACAACGAGGGAGAACGTCACCAAAGAGAAAAATAGTTGGGGGCATGTTAGGCAAAACACAAAAAAACGCAAAAAAATCATAAGTATACCCAAAAACCCTTGGCGGAACAATATGTAAGTCTACTCCAATTATCTTATATTATATTATATATAAACAATTAAGAAAGTTCTAAGTTCGGGTGTAACCGAACATTTTATACTCTCGTAACTTGCAAAGATCAAAGCCCGGGAAATCACTTCAGGTGTTGGCAAAATTATATATTGAAGGATATATTGATCCGATTCAACCCATATTTGAATACAAAACATACTATTATCGAGAGTTTCTTTTATTTATTTTATTATATGAATTTCAATTACATATCTTACACATTAATCGATATTTTCGGTAAACAATCAACTATAGGCACTGGGGTCCACATATTCACTACCTAGGGGCTTGAACAGTTTTGATTTGGAAAATTGTTGGTCACAAGGTGGCATACTCTAAACGCATTATTCACGCAAAGTTTTGCGCCGATACAATTGTTGTTGCTTGATTTGCATAGTGGAAAGTAAAAGAATCAGATGGAATCTAAAATGGTGTTATGTGGGAGAAATGTCACCCGGTTTCTCCCATTTTCACACTGTCGATAGAGGTGCAAAAAACATCTGTTCTCAGTGAATTACTTATTATAGCTTTAGAGGTTTAAGAGATATTAAACCTATTAGTAGCGGGACCACGCCCACTTTTTAAAAAAAATTTAAACAGCTAATGCCCCTCCCTCATGTGATCCTGTATACCAAATAACAATCTTATTTCTTATTGTGGAGATTAGTTATGGCAATTTATTTGTTTTTGATTAATTACGTTTTGTCGGCGTGTCAGTGGTTTACTGATTATCTATCTGCAATACCAACCGTCTTACGGTACCAAGAAACATGTGTACCAAATTTTATACAGATATCTCAATTTTTACTCAAGTTACAGCTGGCGGACGGACCGACAGACGGGCGGACAAACAGTCATCCGAATGTTAACTCGTCTTTTCATCCTGATCATTTAAATATACAAACCTATAACTTAATATCTCACTCGATTAGTTTTAGGTGATACAAACAACCGTTAGGTGAACAAAACTATTATACTCTGTAGCAACATGTTGCGATAGTATAAAAAGAAACGCTATTTCGTTATGTACCCGTAGAACTTCCGAACCACAGCTCGGAAAGACGTGAAAATGTGCAAAGTTATTCCTGCAGAGGCCTGTAGGCCTTTTTTACAGACTTTGATTTTGCAATATATGTGTATATGTACACATATGTAAACTAAGATTTTAAATCAATTAAAGTTATAAAGGTCATGTAGAGCCGCTACTCCTCCTCTATGAGTAGTAACAAATCAAAGAGAAGACCTAAATACAAGCATATTTCTAAAAGTAACAGTGTACTTTATAGAAATTTTTGGAGGTTTGATCAATCACCGTCCTTCCGGGATATGTTTACAGCCGTTTAGAAACACAAAACATTTCCACCGATTCATGAAAATATTTGTTATTCTATTCTAGAAAATATTTGTGCAGCGACATTACCCGATGCCGCTTTGCTACAAAGGGAGCAATCTCTAGTAGCAAGAAAAAAATCTACAAAATCT